GCATTCTCCATTGTACATCTCAGTCCCTCCAGGGTCCACTCTTACACAGAAATGTTCATTGTATATGATAAAAATTTAACAAAGTTGTCATTTTTTTTTCTTGTTTCGGTAGTCACGCCCAGGGGACTACCATGTCTTGATAACTGCTTTACATTCATAGATACAGGTCAATGGAAGATTACATGCTTGATAAATGTTAAAAAGTCTTTACATTCCTCTTGAGGATAAAATTATTTGTAGTCTAGATTTGTCTATGTCAGCAGTTTTCTGTTGATAATGGAAAAGAGATTTACCGACCATCAGTTCTTTTACAACTTACAATATTCCACTTTTGTATGATTGAACTATTGTTAGCCAGTCATTATTCAATATATAGGTTTCAGTTTTAATTTCTTTGTCAGGAAGCCAAAATTGCTTCATTTATAGTTCATTTTCTCTTCCAATTCTTAAGAGATTAAAATAGTTACATAATTCTAAGTAGTTTTGTACTGAAATATGTAGTCTGAAGATCATAAACTTTTAGAAAGTATGGGCCATGAAATTATTCACTTGCTTTCAAGAATAACATCTTGATAGTCAATACATTAAGAATACACAATTTTTTGGGAACATAAGGTCTTGTATGACAATCAAGTATTAGCTTTTCATGGTGTATACATTGTACATGTATATACATGTAGGTCTGTTTGATTTTGTGGTCTTTTTGGGTTGCACACTCATTGATCCTTCAATCTATTTTTTTCATGTCTGCATATATATAATTTGTGTTGGTTCACCAGATGTAGGGCTGCAAATGGGAAAAATATGCAATAATTCATATATAAACCAAATATTAAAGTGCACGATTTACCTTTGGAAACATCTGTAACATTAGTCTATCTTTAATGAAAATCAAATTAACATTAAAGAAGGGTAGTAAAGGAATAAAGTTAGTTTTTTTTCTATTTTTAGCTTCAATATATATATAATGGTCCCAATACAAAATGATTCATTTCTTCAAAGAGAATTTAATCCCTGCTGATGAGGGTAATACTATACTACATTTACTTTGGGTTTTGGGATTCATGTTTTTAGACTGAAAATATTCATTTTGTTCATGTTAATATGAATTATAATAAAGTCAACAGTTGAGTACATTCTGAATGTGACAAGTGAGAAAAGAAAATATGTGTTTGTAATGGTGTGATAGGTTATTGTCTATTCTAGATGTAGTAATAACAGAATGTATTTCTTTTTGTGGAAGGGAGGAAGGGGGGGGGGGGGGGGGGGGGGGCAACTATTTTCATTGCACTAATTTACACCATTTGGTTGGTTAAGTGACAGTTTTGTGGTTGTTTTACAAGTTCTTTTATCAGTTATGTGACTTAATGATTCCAAATGTTGGCAGTGATTATAATGTTTCTTATGTTCTTTTGTGAAAAAATAGCATGCAAGAGAAGATAAAGCTTCTGTTATTGCTTTCAAAAAGAGACAAATTAGAGGTCGTTATAGACTCAATAAAATGACAGTGCTTAAAGGCACGAGAAAAGGTATGCATGAACATGCACAGCATGTATCAGCGATAAATATATAAATAAAACAGATCCAATATTATGGTAGAATGAGAGATATTGATTTAAGTGTCCTTTTACGGGTTACCTAAATGAATTCAGATGTGTATTAGCAGCAAAAAAATAATAAAAACAAATCCTGGTAAATATAAATTTTTTACAATATTAGAACTAAGTTTAATGCTGGTACATTACTATAACTTGTGGTATACCAGTTAGTTTTTAATGAGTAATTAGGTTTTCTTGTCAACTTTTTCATTGATTCATTTTATGGCAAATCTTGAACATAATTGAATTAAGGACCCAAATAGCAATGAATAGTTGTATTTTGATATATTTTAACAGTATAAGAGTAGCAGGATATTTGCAACATTTTAGTTGGTCCAGGATTTTTGACTTGCAAGCTTGCATGGAAAGATTAGCCTATTTCATTTTCTAGTGGACTTTTATAGTAATTGAATCTATTTTTTTTACTGGATAGAGGCCAGAAAACCTACTAAACTGGTAAATATTTTATTTAGACCAGTAACTTTGAAGATCTATGCAAAATTGACCTACAGATAAGTCATACAGTGGTCAGTTCTGACTTTAGTACATGGAAAACAAATAATTGACCAGATAATTACTTAATCATCTAAAAATCTGCATCTGGTTACTTTGCTCATTACAGGAAGATCCAAACTCGTACAGCCATTAATTTGTGACCATAATCACTAAATCTGTTATGTGTTTGTTTTATATACACCTACGCTATAATAACATGCATTGTTTTGAGAGGGACATGTAATCAATCACATATGTCCAAACTGACCAGACCTTATTTAGTGACTTTGGCTGTCTTCCCTTGTTGAAAATACATTTTTACATTGGGTTTCAAGATAAATGTTGTATTGTGAAACTTTTCAAGAAAATTAAATACAGAAATATGTTGTAGGCTGTACTCAGAATATTTTAACAAATAAACACAATAACAAATTTTTTAAAAGGTATTTCTTTTCTTGAATACACTTAATCCTTGAACTGTGTGTGGAAAAAATGAGATTTAGTTGATGTTGAAAACAAAATAAGTGGGCTGTTATTATGCCTAAGGATATCTTTTAAAAGATTTTAACCTTCAACGGAAATGGGAAAAAAATCAAACTTAACCGGTTCTCTCTGAAATGCTCATATTGCCAACAAGCTATAAAATCTTGAATCAATGATATATTACTAATATTTTCAAGTATAAAACAAAAGATTCTTTGATAACTATAGGAAGAGAAGTGTGTAGTTAATTATAATTGACCTTTTGTTAGTGACAAGTGAGATGTATAAGAATGATATGAACCATTTACTTTAATCATGCTAATTTGTAGTTCCTCATTACAATGTTATGACGCTGCTGGTGTAATATCCGCTATGATTTACACCAAGTATTTTACATTGTGCATTTATCAACATAATTTATTGGCTGTTACTAAGTGAAAAATTACAGTATTTTGGTTCTTGTTTTCTGCAGCTTCTTTTAAACAATAAGGTAGTCGACAGCAGCATTGAAACAATTTTTTTATAAAAAATAAAGCAGAATCCATTGATGCACTTGCAACCATGCATTAAAATGCTATGGACTATGCATTTATATTTCTTTACCCTGTAGGTCTGCATTAATGCATCAAAATTGCTAAAACTGAACATTATCAATATTTTGATTTTTTCCTTATATTTTCAAGACAAACCCTGCTATCTAATCACTCTGTTTTCACCAAGTTTTTACAAACAAAAGATAAATCTTTAGGATATATAAAGATGATGATTATTCATTTATATTTTAATGGTTATTGTTCTGCATACTGATATTATTCAGCCATCACATTGAGATTGATGTATTGTGTACCATATATAGATGAAATATTGATTTGAAATGAATTATTAAAATGTAAAAACTATTGCTTATAAGAAATAAAACTTATGAATAACAACTTTTATATTTAAGTTTCTAGAAAAATAATTGTTTTTATTACTAAAGCCATCACTACATACTGACATATTTAGTAGAGAAATTATTTCCGATATGCTGAGTACATTTTTACTCCTACTTGGATTAAACTATTTTTACTTAGAGGGATTTAGAGGAGAAATGTATTATTTAATGTGATATTTTAACAAGTATTTTAAAACAACTTTGAAAAATGATTAAAAATATGTATATACTGTTAATGTTAAGTAAATTTCCAAGAAAAGTGTATAGTCTGGAGTGTTTTGTTTTTATTTCAACTTTTCTCCTATGAATAACCTCACAAGCAATCAAAAACAATTATGAAACCAGAAATGAATCATGAACAGTTTAAGGAAATATATTTCTTCCTTTATAAGTCATAAGTTTAGAGGATCCTTGTTGTCTTACTTTGTCACAAGATAATCATTTAGGTATTATGTACGATCCTATTAATAAACTGAAAAATGACCAACTTCGGAAGTTTGTCATTAAGAATTCATGTTCACATGTTGTAAATCGGAAAAAAAGTTAATATGAGAATGTATAATTCTTCATGATTTCATGCTCAACAGTTGTTTACAAGGATCGACAGTCAGGTTGTTGACCTACGGAAAAAAATGAGAACAAATATGTTAAAGAAAAGTGAATTGCATGATTTACAACAAGCATGTTTTTATGAGATTTTAATATGAACAAGCACCTGAATCTATTTTTCACAATCTTACTGAAATTAATGTTATTTCTACTGCTAGATTTTATTTTAAGATCACGATAAAGCATTGTTTCAAATTTTTCCTTTGAAGTCTGTAGGAAACTTGCCAAAAACCTTTATAAAAGTAGCTATTGTATAAGTAATATTTCCTGATTTGATAATGAGAACAAAGGATTTAAATACATAACAGGTGAATGGTTCACTGTTTTGAAAGAATGAACTTTAACTATGGTAAATTAGAGTCTACTGTACATTATAACTATATATCTAATGACCTTCCTTAAGATTTTGGAAATTCTTCAGATATTTAAATTTTTAGTCGGGCATAGCTGACTTCTTAAGAACTACAGCTATTTTCTATTAATAACACTTAAAACATGATACTGTAAATTGTATTAAGCATATAATTTGTGATTAAGATCATTAAATTCAACAATGTATGCCCCTATAGAGGAGCAAACTATTACAAAAGCAGCAGTCCCTCAATTTTCAGATTATAGCGAAATTTTCCAATCTTTGAAAATGCTCAAATAAACATGATAAGTCCAATTTCTGCATATTCTATTGACCAGACCTTTGGTCAGACAGTACTTTCGTACATATTGCCTCATACAAGTTTTGTAGAAATCCAGGTCTGTGCCAATGCTTTTATTATTCTCACTTATTTAAAATACCTTCAGGAAAAGGTGAACCCTTTTAAAATCACTGATTGAAAATTTTGCTGGCATGTAATCTGAATTTTTCTTTTTTTTTCTTGTTTCAGTGGATGCTTGTGAACAACAAACAAAGATCAAGGAAGAACCAAGAGAGAGACTATATTTACACAATGGACACCATGTGGCTGCCGAAGCCTTACTGTGCATGGACTCACCTCATGAGGATAACAAAACCTTTCTTCAAGATATTCTCAGACAGAATCAAAAATCAAGTAAGACATCAATCAAAGCCTGTAGAGATTGTCTCCTAGATATTGTTTCAGTTAACACAATGTAAAGAAATTAAAGAGCTTAAGTGTAGTGCAAGTTTGAACAGAAATTAGCTTCACGCTTAAGATATTGAGGATAATTTTCGATGTTTATGATGAATCTTCAGCATTAAAATAAATGTAGCATAATAATGTTATGGCATTTAAGATTTATTTTCAAACTCCAAGCTTTAAATCTTATTTAATGAGATCAGATTTCGGAATGTAAAGAGGAAGAAGAAAAATAACCAGGAACATTGATTTGGCAAATTCACAGATCTAAGAAATCTGCCTGAAAATAATAAATGTTTCAGTTTCTATATTTGCTTTCATAAGATACAAGTCCTTGAGGATCTTTAACTGTTTTTTAATATTTCCTCCAGGTTTAAATTTCTCAAATTATTATGTATAAATGTTTGCATTGGTGCCAAGGATCCATAGGTGATTACATGAATATGCTATTCTTATTCATGTTCCGTTTCTTATGTGCGATAAGAATACATAATGGAAGTTTTGATCTTGTTTCTTTTGAATCGGAAGAACAGTGGAAGATTACCTTACATATGTAAGGATTTAAAAAGCCGGTTTATTTAATCCTTAATTTATACCAGTGGCTTGTCAAGATAATATGTCTGACGCATGACTTCATTTCAATAGCTATATTAGAATAAGGAAATGAAAAGATACAAAAGATTTTTCCTTGCTTTTAATAAATGATCTTTTAATGGTTTATAGTTTTGGGGTGAAATATTTCTGCCTGTGCAACAGTGCACATTCATTGTTGGTAGAAAATCATGTTATGAGGAAGTTGTCTTGATGTCTGTTTTTTTATTTTTAAATTTGGATATCTGTTTAAAAATGTTTATGAGATAAATTGATTATTTTACGGTCTAAAAAATACCTTTTACAATAGTGAAAAAAGGGGGAGGGTAATAGAAATCTTCAACAATACCTATACCCATTTCATACAAATACATAATCCCAACAATCGTTAAATTTGAAAAAGAAAAAAACAATATCATCAAAAGATATAAATGGAATATTTCAAAACGTTGGTAGTTTTCTGAATTTTTATAATTCTGATAGAAATGAATTGCAAACAGAACATTCCTGGAAACAAAAACTCAAGCTTTTACTTTTATTTTTCCAGCTTCCCTACCTCCTAGCCCTTCAGACAGTGGAGTGTCTTCAGACATCGACAGTAACTGTGATGATAAGTCACGGATACCCCCAGGTAAGCCCATAGTATGTTTACTTTAATCGTGAGTCAGTCAGAAAGGAGTGAATAGTGAATACTAGTTTTATCATTGACTACATGTGTTACAACTATATCAAGGTAGTAGTGACGTATATATACCAAAGACATACAGTTTTGCTGTAGGGAAAAATAGAGCTACACTCAATTTTCACTATTGAGTCAAGATATTTGAATAACAGTATTCAAAAAGCCTTTTTTTTTAACGAACAGTACAATATGTGCACACAGCTTTTCATAACTTTCATTGCAGATTATATGTTATTTGTATTAAAATATTTTGGCAGTATAGAATTACCGTATTGAAATATGGGAAGGACGATACAATTGAAATATGAGATTAAGTGTAGGTTGGATGTTATAGCATATGAAAAATAAAAAAAGTCAAATATAGTGATTTTGGCAAACACTCAACAAAAAAAGAAGCCACAAACAAAAATGGTTGCATATTACAACAGACCAGAGGAAATACAATACATTCTTTTCTGTTTGGCAAACATTGCTGTGTTTATTTATAAGATCTTTGAATATTTGTGGGTTTTACTTTAAATGATAAAGGTTACATGTACACGTTTTCATTGTATATTTTGTACTACATGTATTGAACTTAAAATGTAGATTTTTGTTGAATGACTTAAAGTAGATTATAGGATTAGGAATATAATTATTTAAACCGTTAGCATTATTGGTAAAAAATTCTATCAAAATTAGATTTTAATTGCTTCAAAAGAAGGATCAATCCTCTTATATGAATAATGCAGTGTATAACTGCCTAGAAATGAGTCTTATTAAGTTTTATATACACAGAATCATTAACTTCCAGCGATGTAATAGATCGTCTGAAGTATCTAATTTGAAGTGCAGTTAGTTGGAACAAATCTTGGTTGCAGCCATACTGACATAGATTGACTAGAACGAAAATAGGTCGTATTTTTTAATATGGCTGATCTGATTGATTGGAATAAGTGCTTCCGCGGAATGTTGTCCTTCTTGGACTAAATAGTATGATGCTTAGAAAATAGTTGAAGACTGAATTTTTAAGCAATTAACTTACTTTTGGCTTTGAATTTAATACTTATTGAGGAAGAAATGAAAGTCACTCTTTTAATATATGTGTTTTTTTCTTTTTCTTTGACAGTGTATTTACAGAGACAAACATCATCACCAGGCCCATACATTCCCCCTTTCTGTCAGATGCCAGCTGGACAACTTCGACCTCCTCCTGCTCACCAACCTTTACCTGCACATTTTAATACTGCCACACACATAGCAATGAGACCAGGTAATTTGCATACTATGCATTAATATCTAATAAAAGTTACAAGCATTCTGAGTTTTGAAGACCTCATATACAGTAATTTGTTTTTCCCATAATGCATCATGATGAAAGCAAGTCACATGCATACTGTATATATACCTGAACAACAAATAACACCATATAAGGAGTTATTGCAAGAAATTTGTTTCCATTTTGTTTTTGAGATATCTCAATACAGAGTGCAAGATATTAGCAGAGAAGCAGCTATATGTACTATATATATAAACAGTAGAAAATGCTATGACATTAAAATATGTTATTATATTTTACTGTTAAAATTAGCACATCTTTCAATGGGATTTAACACATATGAATATAACCTGCTATCTGATATAAATAGTACAAAAAAATCAGTACGATGTTAATAGACCTTCTCCTAATTTAAAGTGTGAGTGGCCTTAAAATAAAGTGTGAGTTGCCTAAAATAAAGTGACAATACCTTTTTATAAAAGTGTCATTCCTTTTTATACAAGTGTGATATTTTCTTTAATAAAAATCTTTTTATAGAGAGACTGGAACTACAGAGAGAATTTTTCTATGCTAAGTGTTAATTTAGATAAACACCTCTTTCTAACCTTATGATTACTCAGCTTTGTGTAAATTTCTTTTCACACATTGAAGGTCATAAAATGTTTTAATTCTTGCATTCAAAGAGCCTAGGATATTTGTTTAGGTTTTGACTATTCATGTCCTATATTTTGACATTGACTGACCTTCACCTATATTAGATGCTACAGGTTGAGACCAATTAGCCCCTGTTAATTCACAGAATATGAAAAGTTTTTGATAAAATGTCTAGATGGCTGATGAAAAGATTTTATTAAGAAAATGTAAATATATTGGCTGTAGATGAATGGTGACATTGAGTGTGAAGTAGTAAAAATGACATCATAAGGGAGAGACTTTATACTCATTTTTTAGCCATGCATGAGATTTCCAGATTTTGAGTAAATTAAAAAGGGGAAAAAGTAGAAATTATAAAAATACATTGTGTGTGTAAGTTTAGTAAAATAGAAAACACCACTTGTTTGAATATCTTGTTTGACCAGGGTAGTGCTTGTATTATTTTGTTACCACATGTAACAATCTAAATAGGCCAAATTTTGTATAATTGTTGCCATGTCATTTAATTGCTGCATACATTTAAAGGGAAATAGTTTAATTTTTAACTATACTGCAATATTTCATTGAAGTACATAGATTCAAATCTTATTTCGGCAAATAGTAGATATTTTTGTCCCCAGATTGCATATTCTCCTTTGATAAATTGAACCTCATATACTCTTCGTGCTAATTTCAGAAGTCAACTAAAATAACGTGCACAGCCCAGTATGTAATAGAGCTTAAAATGTTAACAATATTAGAATTTTATTTTAAGTGACGAACAAACTTGAATGTTAGCTTATTGTTATATGTTAACTGGATAATGTCCAAATTGTTAAATGAGATTTTTCAAATGCTAAGTTTTACTGATAAGCTGACGTTTGTGGAAGTAAGGCAAAATTTAAATGTAGTAAATCCTATTTAAATATTTGAATTGGTTTGGGGTAAATATCGATGTTGGTGGATATATTTCCTGGCTAAAACCTTTTCCTGTTGGGGTCTTTTATCTTTACCTATGTTTAATGTTCACTTGTAAACTAGGTCAGATAAATCTTGTAACAGTGAGGACCCAAAGGGATTATAAACTACAAAAAAAACTGGACTATTTCTTAGACATGTATATTGTAAGTTCTGTAAAGCAAGATGAATTCCAGTGACTGTTTTTAATAAAAATCTACTTGTGCACCTTTTCCTGATTTTTTTTTTTTTTTTTTTGGAAGATGACACCGCTGAAAGGTTTGGAAAATTAGTCAGGACATTTTTTAAAACTGAGAAAAGAAACTGAAACCAAGACGGAAGATTGAGCTAGATAAAGTTTCTTATAGGAAATTTTCTTAGAAACGTTTAACAATTCCTCATGTATTGAATTACAAACTAGGAAATTTCTAAGATTTTTCTCTCAGTTTCAAATTCGTATCAAACAATAATATGAAAAAAGAATATCTTAACAAGGATATGAATTTGATACTAATGACATGTTTCATATTCCTTGTCTTTAATCATGCTAAGTTCTTGAAACAGGAAATGTCTAGCAAGGTCATCAGTATAGGAAATAAACCTTTTATAAACTCGCAAAAACAGGTTGTTCATACTAGAGACAAGGTTTTAAGTCTTGTCAACGGGAAATCACATGTTTTAGATTAAATAATTGAATCACGATGGTTTCCGGTAATATTAAGACAGTTCCGTACTTTACATGTAGACGAATTGTCCCAGGGTTTCGGAAGACACTTGCAAAAGGTTGAAGTTTACAATTTTTTTCTTTAGATAGACATCTATCAGTTCGCTTAAGGAAATAATTAAATTTATGTAATAATCTTACATAATGGACTAAAGTACTATGCTACAAAATTAATAATTTTGTATTCAAATAGTTTGTATATACATAAGATAAAAAAACGAGTGAGAAAAAAACATGACGTAAACCAGTAATAAACTTAGTCAGGATTAATTCTGTTCTCGGCTTATTTTATTTCTCCCAGTATCGACAATAGGTGTAATACATGTATATTGATTGATATATATGTAAACCTGATACTTAAGATGGAAGGCCAGCTGTAAATGTCCTACATTTTTCTAATTAAATCTATAAATTGACCTACTTGTTGATTTGCACTGTTAAATTTTTCACGTTTCATATAAATAGTCAATACATTAAGGTCCTTTTATGGGCATAGATTAACTAGCATTAATCCTTAGAGAAACATCCACTTTTCTAATTGTCATTTGTATCAACAGAAAATAAAGAATCGACAGTATTTGTCATGGTGTAAAGAAATTTCTTGTAAATGAATGATAATTGGCTTATTAAAAATTTAGCAGTACGAGTTTCAGACATCTTATTTGTTATTGGTTAACCTTTCCTTTCCAAGAACAATGTAACAATTCAAAACAAAATGGGCCGTCCTAGCTCTTTTAACTTCTTGGCATGAAAAAAGGTAAAATTGTTGACTGATGTACTATCAGATTTAAATATATCCAGTGGCAATTAGAGAAACGGATGGTTCAAATATATGGATCTGAAACTAAGGATAATTATCACGATGACAAAAACAGGAAGTTCGGCTCTAACTGATCGCAGACGATATTGATTTTCTCTAAGATAAGTTTACTGTATAATACAGTAGGCACAGGAAATAAGAAGATGTGGCTCAACATAGAGAAAGTCTGTAGGCGGCATTTTAAGTACAAAGTCTATAATTTCTTACAGCCTTAATTGTTCAGGTTTTCCCTTTAATTGTATGGTAACGATAAACCTCCTGCTTTCTTCATGCTGAGAGAAATTCTCCATCAGTTCCCTACCATTTTCTTGAACAGGTTAATATTTTTCATCAGAAATGTCATATTCAGAATTATTAATAGTAGTCATTAATGTTGCTTCCACAAAAGGTTTAAGATTGACTTACAATGTCTTATATTAATTACATTTATCTTTGCAGAAGAATCAAGATACACAAACAGTCTGTTACCCTCCCCATTACCACACATGGGTATGGAGAGTTGGGAAACCAGTTATCACTCATCCTGTCACTCACCATCAACCAACACGCCTCCAATGTCACCCATTAGAAGTAAGGATAAAAAAGGTACTTTATTCATAGCCGTTGGTAGGGGGTAAATCAGTTCCTGATTTATATATCTTTCTGATACAAATGGAAGGATAAAAAAAATTACAGAAAGTTTGAAAAACACAGCCTCTGCATGGTCCACTGACTTTGAATCTTTTGTACTGTATTCATTCATGGTGGTAAGAAGTTTCTTGTGAATGGATGAGAAATGTTATTAAAAAATTAGCATTACAGGTTTTAGACATCTTGTTGTTTCTGGTTTTGTTTACTGACATGGTATACTATCTTAGATTTAGGTTCCTTCAACTTATATAAATTTTCTAAGTGAGAAGGTCCAGTTTTGGGACTTGTAAGGCCAAGTTAATTCAAATAATACAGACGTCCTGAAATTCAACAAAGGACTGTCAGACATTTGGTCAGACAAACTGCACTGATTCTTTTTACTCAATAAACAAATTTTTAGATATTTGAATGAAAGAAATTGTAAATACTAGCTATAGCTGAATGATGATATTTGTCTAACACCTTAGTGTTTACAGGAAAAGTAGGTTTAGATACTATAAATAATATACTGCTTTTAATTAACATTAAAAGGTTATCGGAATTCATTCTGAAAATTAGCACATTTTGCCCCATTGTTTAACACATACGGAAATAACCTGCTATCTGCTAAAATTGTAAAAAAAAAATGAGTTTGATGCTAAATAGGCCCTTTCCTTATATAAGGCGTTTTGCCCCATTGTTTAACACATACGGAAATAACCTGCTATCTGCTAAAATTGTAAAAAAAAAATGAGTTTGATGCTAAATAGGCCCTTTCCTTATATAAGGTGAGAATTGCCTTAAATAAACTGTGAATTTCTTTTTCTAAGTGTGGTATTTCCTTTCGTACTGAAATTAATAAAAATTGAAAGGTTACTGTACATGTACAGGAAATCGTGTGGTGTTGTTATTAAAATTACACATAAAAGAGACATATCTCTTTGTCAACAGTTTCTTTAATATGATTATAACAGTTAAGCTATTCTTTCCATTACTAAGTGAAAAGTAAAAGCATTTAAGTAAGATGATATATATATTCTATGAATTAAGTTATGTTTTGGAATTGTTCGATTTGGTTCAAGGATGACGACTTTATCATGCATATCTAAATATATCTCATTGTTTCAACCATTTACATAATATTCATATGATATTATATACTTGTCAAATTTTTTACATCATTTTTGACAACAAAGCTTTTAATTAGAACCTTATGCAGGCTTGAGGGTCTTAACTTTGTAAGGCACCGATTTTTTTTTTGTATTTCTATTCACATCAAAGGACTTGTTATTAAAACTTGTACTTTTAGATCTAAATATAAGAAACAATTATGTAAACACATTTATTGTATCTTGAGTTAATTTTGTGGTTAATTTCTGTGTTATTTTCATGAATGGGGCGATGCAGCGCCTTATATTTATTGTAATTGAATGTACATTAAGTCACAAATTATGAATAAATGATGCACTAACATATTTATCACATAATTTCATTAAATGCGAAACAATGAGGGCACCTTTGATAGTGGAAAAGAGGGGGAGGGGAACTATGTTTTTATCTTAAAAACTGTAAACTGTTAAAATCAAAGTTAAAACAGCTTGAATCTTTGATATATATTATATGCAATGATATAGTAGTAAAAAAAATTTTTAATGGTAATTAGAATATTATAGCCCAGATATGATTCATTTATTATCTCTTTAAAGTCATATATTTTTGTCGCTCTAAGTAGTGTTTGTCCATTTTAAGATTTTTGAAGAAGCTTTTGTTTGTTGAGCAAATATTTGATGATAGATAAGATAGACCATGGGTCATTTAAGAGATTCTACTTCTTTCAGTTTTACCTTTTATATACATGTTACGACTGCATATTACGTAGATTGTGTGCTTTTTCTCTCGAGATCCATGAATGGTATTGATTCTGTAACACGTTTCGCTAGTTTATAAAACTTTTACATATCCATTCATTCATACAACTTTGATTCAATTGATTTGTCATTGAATAAACTGCAACGTATGTTACATTTGAGTAAATACTATTTAATCTGTAAAGAAATAAATATGTCATCAGAAAATATTATCGTAGAAACCATATTCAATAACTTCTGTATTAGAGAAAAAAAGGATTGTTTGTTTATGAGAAACAATTACTCCAGGAGTACATCTGCACTTTTATAGGCATTGTACATAATTAGTCGGTGAATTGGATTTTGTCAGGTTTTCTTTGCATTGTAGTTGATATGAATTTGAGAAAAAAAATTGAGAAATTTAAAAGGTGGATGACAGTTGTATGTGTTTTTTTAAGTTTGTTTAAGTGGAAGTCTAATATTGGCTCTTCCCAAACAGATTGTAGTAATCTTCAATGATATTCGAGGATAAAAAAGGGTGTACTTATACTCAGAGTCAGCTTGTATAGCTTATAAAGATTACTAGAATGTAATTAAGTTATTATTGTCGTTTAAATGTCCTGCAATCCTATTTATCTACTTCTGCTCAAGAGACAACAGCTTCACATTATTCAAAGTCATGTAAAGTCAGGTTCTGTGGCAAAGATTTGACTGTTAATGACAAGTACATCACTGATTTTAATAAGCCTTCTGTGATGACATTGTTTATTGAACTATCAAAACATTTTAAGTAGTTCTTGTTGTATGTTTGAGAAGCTATCATCTGTGTCTTTGAAGTTAGAGTTTAGTTGTACTTTTCTGACACTTGGTCAATATATTGGGGTAAATAAGTTCTATATCACTTTTCATTTTTATGACAAATTGTCAGATGTACTTGTTTAGCATGCCCCACGTTATTGTCTTTATCACATATTATTGTGGGTGGTTTTTATTCTGTGATTACGATAGTTCAGTAGGTTTGTGCCATGTCATCAAATCGTGTGTACACTGATGGTTATCTCCCCTTATTTAGTTAATGTCCACTTGTAGTTCAAAGAGATAAGAAAATTCTTGATGGAAAAACAATGTTTTAACCATCTTCAAAGGTTTTGACTAGAATTCGTGTCTTTTTGCCTATTTCAAGTTTGTTTCTTAGGCAAGGGTTCTAATAGTTATTCTTATTATTATTTCAGGTAGAAAACCAAAGAATTTAATTGACTGTCCTATAAATCAACCAAAAAGAAAGAGAGAAAGTAAGTATAATGGATTTAAATCAAATACCCAATCTTTTATTTCCCCCCTAAAGAACATCAAAATTCATAATTTTATATGTCAGTTGCCACAAATAACATGCTTCAGTGGCTACTGAGGACAGATGTTAAAAATGCATGACTTTGTAAAACTATTTTATTTTGTAAATACTATGAACCTTATGCATCACTGACGATTTCAGAAATAGAATTTTCCATTAGAAATCTTGATAAATATTTTATTTCTTTCATGTTTTTATTCAAATATTGCATTCATTAACCTAATTGGTTTTTAAATGGATAAAAAATGTGATAAAGAGAGTTATTGTGATTTGGTTACAAATTCCAAATAAGTTATTTGTAAACAGTGCAAATGTAGTTATATTAACTTTGAAAATAATGTGTTGTGTAAAAATACTGTTTTAGCTATTGTCTTATCTATTATATATTTAAGAACAGATTTTTATTTTTGATCAAAATTAAACATCAACAAGAATTATTAGAGCCAAAAGTGTTCCATGTATTTATATAAATAGAACGGAGCTATGTTAACAAATTTGACAATTTCAAAGTCCGAAAAATACTCCACAGAGTCTTACTGGCTGGTATAATCAGAAAAATTCATTTATATGTATAAAATCTTGTGTATTTATTGACAAGATGGTGTGTGTCGCTGGATTATGTTGCATTGACTACAGCTGATACATTGATATTTTACTGGTTCCCTTAGTTGATAAAATACAGGGTATCAAATGTCGAAACAGATATTGATTAAAATTTTCTTGGAGTATTTTTTTATATTAAAATATTTGAATCCATTTATAAAAAGAAAAAGACACCTAAAAAATGTGCACATGTTGTGTATGTATGTGTTATACATCACTTTTGTCACTTTAATGAATAATTTTTATTTTTTTGAGAAATATAACGTTCAAATGAATTTGTCACTAAATCCCTTAATTTTTTGTTTTTCAGGTAGTACAACATATCTGTGGGAGTTTTTACTGCAGTTATTACAGAATCATGAAACATGTCCACGGTACATCAAATGGACCAATCGGGAGAAAGGAATATTTAAACTAGTTGACTCAAAGGCAGTATCCAAACTGTGGGGCCTACACAAAAACAAACCAGACATGAACTACGAAACTATGGGAAGAGCTTTAAGGTTTGTATTTGTACAGAATTTGTTAATTGATTGTTTTGCTTAATGTCCAGTGGCATATATTTCATGCATATTAAGGATGATAGGAATTATTTAATGTTCAATAGTTTTAATGGAAAAAAAAGGGGTATATTGTTCATGTTTAAAGCCTAGAAAGACCTTCAAGTTTACCTATTAGCCTGTAGGTGGTAATTTCTAATTATATAGTCGTAGAAGCAATATGAAATTTGTTTGCCAATGAACTGAAAATTGTTCAGGTGGGTTAACGTGACTTGAAATTACTTGAAATATACCCAAGCAATTTCTATATCAGTTGTATTTGTTATCTAAAAAGCTGATTTATTAATTTGATAGAGTTATTTGTTTAGAATTGAATAAGTTAATAAATGAATATTTTTCTATTGTAAAAAATAGGTTCAGTTTATCTTGCTGGAAAGTTACCACATGTCAAATACTATGATAGGGTAATTAGATTTACATTGAAAGGGTAGGAGAATAATCAGGCTCAAATTAGGGTATTTTCTGGCTTGTGCAAATATTCCTTAAGTAGTTCCAATTTTCTGGCAGCAGGTTTGCAGATGTATAAGTATTTGATTGTTCAGAAAAAGATGTATTAAACAAGCTCATCTTTTTCACTTGCAGGTATTACTATGCCAGAGGAATTTTAAACAAAGTTGACGGACAAAGACTAGTGTACCAGTTTGCTGAGGTTCCTAAACAAATCATTGAAATTGACTGTAGTAATGTTTGAAAGGATTCTTAATATTAAAATAATTATGAAGTGCCATAAACGAAGTGTCCCGATCACTGAAGAGAGCTTCATAGACCTGTGTCTTGTCATCAGTGTGATAATCTCAAGAATTGTGATAAAAGCATTACATGGCAGGTGCTTTCCCCTGTCACCAACCAACTTTTGACGGAGTGAAGAAATCAGTTATTTTGACCCTCAAACTGTGACAGTGTCATGATAGAAATCATTATTATGCTCTGCTGAAATGTATCTTACGATAGGAACACCATGTAGCCTATCCCACTGAGGTGTACCATGGGTGCCTTTTATGTCGTAGCAAAAAATCGAATGTCACATGACTCTCTTGTGATCACCGTAATGTGCTTTATAAGTATATGTGCTCACAGACAAATTATCGAATGTACAGACGTTGAAAGAATTGTATACTTTGTTGAGTTTTATATTGTTTTGTTGTCCATGTTTTTGGAAAATTATTTAAATGTTAACTGTAGTCATAAAATAGGAATTTGTATGTCATTGGGATGTGAATATTGACAAAATGACATGTGTCTTTTACATGAAATCCTCTTCAGGTGACAAAAAATGACCCAATAAATTATAATTATGCAGGTTTGATTCGCCTGCGTAGTTACGATGATTTATAACTCTGTTTAAACATTCTTACGTATAAATATCAAGGTTTAAATCGTTCAACAAATAAAGTATAACCATTTCCTCTTGTTTGAAGGATATCTCGTCAACTACATCAGAAATACAAGCAAGTCTTTGGCAGAATGTAAATTAGTGTTCATTTGAACTTTGTTTATATGGATCTAGGTCACAATCTGGTTTTATTAAATGTTAAAGATTTGTGGAATTTGTTGAGGATTTTTAAGTTTATATTGTTACAGGATTTGAATGATAACTTTGTTATGATATGTTGGTTTAAAACAAAAAAAAGGTCCTTTATATCATGTAAAAACCAAACCCTACAAGACCGAAGATTTTGTATTGATAATACAATTGTATGTTTTAATGCAAGTGTACAGGTTTTGATTCCTTCTATTTGTTTGTTTTTAAGTTGTTAATGAAGTTTGATCCATTCCATTCAATTCAGTGCTGTTTAAATTCTGAAAGAGTAAAAATGACAATACTTGTAAGGAAAAACTAAATGACAATACTTGTAAGGAAAAACTAAATGACAATACTTGTAAGGAAAAACTAAATGACAATACTTGTAAGGAAAAACTAAATGACAATACTTGTAAGGAAAAACTAAATGACAATACTTGTAAGGAAAAACTAAATGACAATACTTGTAAGGAAAAACAAAATGAATGATAACATTTATTTCTTTTTTGAAATCTGCTTTGGAATATCCATACAGTCTCAATGTACATAGAAAACAGTCTGATATATGCTTGCTTTAGGGCTGTTCCATTTAAATGGATGTTGGAGGGTAGGTAATTCAGAAATTTGCTTACATTAAAATGGATATACAACTGTAGATAACCTAAAACTCGTGTCCAAACATGAATTTCTCATACTACCCTCCCCCAATTATTTTATTAGAATAGTCCTTAGTTGACTGTTGACCTTTAATGTTTAAGAACATTCATTTTGTTGTGCTTCTGATGGTAAAATAGAACAGTGTCTATTGAAGCAATGAGTTAAATTTTAAAGACCGTGTTTTATGTTCAAGTAAAATAACGATAAAGTGATTCTTAAAAGATTGTATGTCTACCATTGATGTTGTAGGCAGACCCCCTATTATCATGTGATTGTCTATATTAACGGAAGTATTGTCATGTTTACTCTTTTATGCATGGTTTGACCAATCCTATACATTCCTCTAACCCGGACATTTCCTACGGTTTTAAACATGTTATTTGTTATTTTATAATTTCTTTTTATGTGTGTGATGTGTTAAATTGACTAATAGTATAATATATTTTGAAATATGTATACATGTGGTTATGTTGGAAGTGAAGAATGAATCAGTTGTAAAAACATCCTCGAGGGAAAATCGTTTATTTTTTATTCATGTGTGTTCAGTACATTTGTCCTTAATTTTTGTAATTATAATTTTTTAAAAGCATAATATAAAAGCAGGTACTTGCATCACAAGATTTAAATGCCAAAGATAGGGATTTCCAAAGCTATATAATTTTGTACCAGTTGACTTCTTTACAGTATTGCTGATTTCATTAATATTTAAAACATTTTTAATCCCAAGGAGGCTTTTCATCATTTTTATAAATTTAAAACAAGATGACAAAGGTTTTTTTAACTCTATTCTGTTATTTGACATAAATTTTATACATCTGTTCTTTGAGTGATATTTCTCATGTGTGGTGTTTGAATAGAATAGAACTTCTAGTTTACTTTTTAGGAAAGACAGAGTTGTCTTTTCTTGCATTTAAAATTTTGATGACATCTTTTACAGCATAACACATATATTAACTTAGTTGGAATTAAGAATTATGTTATTTAATATGTATTATAAATATAGGAAAAAAAGAGAATAAGGATTATAGAACAGAAAGATTTATAGATTGAAATACATGTACTAATTTATTTTTATTGAGGCGTAGGCAGAAACTTTGATAAGATTAAAAACACAATATTTCAATTTTGTGAGGGATTATAGATTTACTTCATTGTAAGAAAGATAATGGTATTGATTTTTGTATATTCTTAACAATTGATTTTGTATACAGTATCTGCCTTTAAAAGCCAGGTTGGTAAAAGACTTAGATTTATTATTCATTACGATCCTTGTTTTTATCAGTGGAAATATTCTGATATTTTCCTGGTTACAAGAAAGTTTATATTTATGAAAATAAATGCTACTCATGGATTTTGATTTGAATAAATCTATTTTATATGCTCAAAGGCAATAATAAATCGTTTTAGGAAAATCTACATACAGTGTTGACCTGATTTCAAAATAATTGATTCTTATGGGAATAGAAACAATAACAATTCTTTTTTAGTACATTTTTTTAATAGTTCTTTCGGAAGAAAAACCCTGCTTTTTTTGGTTTATCTTGTTTAAAGCAATGCATTTTTCATGCTGTTATGAGGTATACATTACAGTTATTTCACAAGGTCAATTAAAGACTTATAACTCTCACATAAGAGACCAACATTTAATATCCCTCAGAGAAAGAACTCATGACACAGGTATAAATATTTACCATTATTCCATGACGAAGATCTGAATTCCTATGGCAGCTATTATAATCACAACACTAAGAATTAGTCGTAAAAGTAGCAGATTAATTGCAACATTTGATTTGAATAATTTCATGTATGTATAAACCATGCTATAGGTTTTAGAAAAAAAGCATTATATTTTTGCTGTTCATCGTTTGATATATATTTAGACAAAGTTTTTATGTAACCTGGTTTGCCTATATTCAGAACTCTGTATAAATAGGATTGCCAGTTAACCTCAGCACACTCTGATATTTTAGAAGATTTTATTAAAACTTGTTTTAATGATTATTCAACGAATTTGAGATGTGATTAAAGAATTATTGTCAAAGGGAAATAGTAGATTTGATATGTATTTGTAAAGTTTTAAGCATAGATGTCAGAGAAGTTTTATAAAACAAAACTATATAATTTTTATTTCTAAGATTTATAATCACATGTTTTGCAATTTTTACCGTTTTCTTTTAACCCTGACATGAAGATATTTTATAACATTTACCGACACAATTGTTTTACTCTTTGTCTTAACCTGTAATTTTAATCAGGTGTATAGATATATGGGCATTATTTATGTTATATGTACAAGTCAGTCTTTCTCTGAAATTTCTAATCGTTACTTAAATAATTACTGATCTTGGACAGATTAGGTGGTCCATTGTAATCCATTTTATCATGTCCACATTTTGCTGATTGCCATTTTCAGTTTTCTTTTTAAATTAACAGGAAAAAAATTAAAGATGCAAATTTTGTTATGGTGTATGGAAGAATGTTTAAGGATTAAAGTAAATCTGACATTTTACTATGTTTAATGGCAGGGAGTAGCTTCGAATATAAAAGGGATTGTGCAATCTTTGATGACTAACTGGAAATGGCCAATAAATTTAATTTGGGTTATTCTTTGTAACATGAAAATACTTTAATACTATACAGACTTTGTACACAACAAAGAGGACGAAAAGGCATATACAAACTCTGGTATTGTTGGGAGAATGTTGATTTTCATAATCATTTATAGAGAGTAAGAGAGACTGAATAAAAGTTATTACTATTGTATGATGCTGAAGATAAAGATTATATATTATTGTGCTGTTCTTATGAATGTAAGAAATGAAAAGAAAAATGTGATATAAATATGAAAATAAAGAAATGATAAAAAATTATGTGTTTGTTCTTACGATATTCTCAAAGGAAGCTGTTATATGTAGATTTCTTTTTTATATAGTGAAAAGGTGAACATTGAAAAAGTAAACAAAAATCTTATTCCTTTCATTTTCTACAATTGTCCTTAATTTTTCACCAGTTAAATAAACAAAAACAAAAAGAAGGAGATTTGGTATGATTGCCAATAAGACAACTATCCACCAGAAACCAAATTATTTGGATATATCAGAAAGCAACTATAGGTCACTGTAAGGCCTTCAACAATGAGCAATACCCATACAATATAGTCAGCTATAAAGGGCCATGACATGACAAAATGTGAAACAGTTCAAAAGAGAAACCTGCCTGATTCATGATAAAACAATAAACGAATACCAAATATGATAGACAGCAACCCACAACAACTGAATTCCTGACTTGGGGCAGGTACATACACAATTTGATGTTTGAAAAAAAAATTACAGCTGTAACTTCAAATATATTTTCTCTTGTGACAGAAAAAAAAATGCGTTTTTTTTTTTGTACTACAGTGGCTGACAAACTTCAACTTTAGGAGTTTAAAATGGCACAGATTTAAAATGTATTTTAGTAGCTGACAAAGCAAAACTTATTTTCTTTCTCAAACAAACTCTATGTCACAAATGAAGATTGACTTGTTCACATTATACTACAGTCCATGGCTTTACCTTTTTATGATGGACAATTGACACCAAGATAATTTTACCTATTAATGCATGCAACGATTGAAACACTACTGTTTGGAAAACTCATGGTTTCGGTGATAAATGTCAAATAATTGAAATTATACATCTAGCCTAATGTTTAGCAGGTGAAACTCACAGAAGTATAGATATATGGCATATTCATATTGTCTGTTGAGGTCTTAATACATCTCATGTTTCCAGTAAGTGTTAAATTTACATTTGAAAATGAGCCTGTCAAATCTACTCTGGAAACCTTCATCCATAAAAACTGATAGCCAAGATTGCTGAAAATAGTGCAGATTTCAGATTTTCTTTTTTAAAACCTTATATATAATTAATGCAGAAGGGATGGAAATAAACAGAAACGTAAAATGGTCGTTAAAGTTGAAGCAACAAAATTTCAATTTGGCAATATTTTGTTTAATAAAAAAAGGAATTAGCTCTGAAAATGCTCAGGAATGATCATCGTTCTTTTGACTTTTATAAAACACTAATACATCTGGTAATTTGAACATTTGAATAGCTGAAGAAACAAAATTTAACTGGGACATAATATATTGACAAACTATAAAAATCAGTCGAAAAGGGCTTAACTCAGCAGATCGATACAAAACAGAAAAACATCTAACAAAAACACAGACCGGACGTGGCAGGGTATTTATACATCCCAAAGTGTGTGGTTTGGTTTATCTGACCTTGTCCTCATTGTTATGGATTACTGATAATGTTAAGTTTTATGTGATACTTGTAGTAAAACTTTATTTCCAGGACTATCAACATTAAATAAATCTTAAATAGTAAAGCAGGCGAGACATTTCAGCGTATGGTCGCTTGTTATTTACCAAATTGTTTTGAAGCGCAGAAAATGATCCGACATATTTTGGACAATGGGGAGAGTCTGTTTCATGTTAATGTGAGGCTTCAACCATAGACGAAGCTAACATATTCCTTTTATTCTAATTGATAACCCCTTTACACAAGTGTCGGACAAACAATTAGTCTGGCCTGGGAACAGTATATCTAACATGTTTTGAAATCCTTCTTTCTTCTGACTTCCAGTAAAGAATGAAGAATGCTGATGTAACGGGTGGACAAAGTACATTTATGTATTACAAATACAATTCCGACTGAATTTCGATCCTGTGTCCAGCGTGGACACATGATCTGTATTTCAGTATTGTTGTGAATGTATCATGTTAAGGTCAAGGTATTGTCTACACTTTACATCTGCCTCTTACTGCCTTAAAGGAGGAAACCCGATCTTAATAGGCGATAGACTATATGTTAGTAATTTTGGATTTTGAGGACCAAGTGCCAGACCAGGAACATATATATTGTACACAGTATTTGTGGATTGGTGGATGCGTTTTCTACAGAAAATCTGCACTATGTAAACCGTTGATGCTTCTCTTCTAGCCTACTTTTACTTCAATTCGTATGAGACATACTTTTTTTAGCTGCATTTTTAGTTATATAACTAACTGTATAACCCTTTTAAAATAAAGTTTTCTTGTTGTTGTTTTACATGGGAAGTCAATAAACAAAATGAGTCAAAACAATTTGAGGTCAGTTTTGCAATCACTGCAGTGTTGCAACCCAAGTTTTTATAAAATTTACATTATCAAATGTGCATAGCATGCACATTACCAGTCAACAAGCAGTGTAATCCGCCCAGTGACAGTATTATCAGTTGATAATTTATCAAATGTGCATAGCATGCACAATACCAGTCAACAAGCAGTGTAATCCGCCCAGTGACAGTATATCAAAACGAAACGTACTGGTTCTACTTCGTTTTTAACTGGTTTACGAATTTACATTCACCGAGTACGACAGATAGCTGGAAAGCAAAAATGAAAAAAGTACACAGAAAGCTAAGAATACAAAAGAGCCATATAAGAATAGTCAAACAGTATAATGTCAGTTTAGTTGGGAGATGCAACCAAGACATCAATAATTAAACAAACTTATGTGAATTCAATTAAAGTTCACAGTTTTTTGCAGCTTTTTGTCTTAAAGGGGGGAGATGCCTAAGAGAAATCTGAAACCTCGAGTCGAATAAAAAAAACAACAGACAACACCGTGGCAAAGAAGGGACAAACAACAGTGCACAAAACGCTTCACAAAAAAATAAAAAATTGAACAACACGAACGCCATAAAATTATCATCAAATCTCTTTTGAAACCTAAACTCCTGTACTGAGATGGCTAATGCTAGTGTCATATGAAATATATATTCACCAGACTGTACAGAGGATTGAATAACTTGGATTACGATTTAAAAAAGCCATGCCTAGCGGTAGAATAATATGTTTTTCTCGGTAGTATCTAACATGTCGGCAGCCCTATTTTTAACTGTTTCCATTTGGTAATTTGATAAGCAGGATACCCTAACAAAATAAATATTATAATGTCGAAGTCTTTGAATTTACGAAATGTGCAAAAGAAGAGAATTAATACGTAATTTAGTTGTAAAAAAGTATGATGTTACTAATGATCACGCAGCACGTTTTACTGTAATACTATCTAATTTTTCTTGAAGGCTCGAGGACAAAACCTGGGACGCAATGTATGGTCTTATGGCATAAAAAAGTATGGTTTTACTAATGATCACATAACACGTGTTTCTATATAAAGCCAAAAGCTGATAAACTTGGAAAGCAAAGAAACCATAAATGACCCAAAACAGTCTACGTTCAAAAATTGTCTGAGATATTTGGAATCAATATTATGTAAGACTACAATTACAAATATGTATTTATATATACTCATAATCATGGTATGCCAAGGCATGAACAATTAGGCAAAACTGAGTTATAATCTGTATTTATAAATCTAGACTACCAGTGGTACTATCAAACAAATGGTAGTAATATTCTTGTAATATTTTATTTTGCACAAGCTATATAAAATATATTTTTGTGAAAAAGTCAAAATTCTTGAGGCTTTCAATCTTGAATTTCAAATATACATCGTAAATATTGAATACAAACATTGACTTAATGAAGTCTAGCTGATTTCCACTGTTAAATCGACCAGTTAAATCTTTTAAACAGGCACTTAGGCCCACATTCAAAACGGCAAACTACATGTCTGAGAGTTGCTAACTCGATAAATAACAAAATAAGTTTAGACAAACTAAAAATTCATTCTCTTGTAGTTTCATACTACGCATATACACGAACCATTAAAATACATTCAATTTGATAATCTCAAAAGGAAATTTAAATTCATCGAAAATATCATTAATTATGTATACATGATTCCTGCATGATGAATTTTATAAATCTATAAATTCTATCATAAAAACAATCATATCGTTTGATAGACCTATTAACTTTATGTTTTCATCTCGACTTCTGGTCATAAAAGCATAGCTTTAAATAAGTAATTAAATGGTCACATAAAGTCAGTTGAATGCCGCGGGGAAAGAACGAGAAATAATATTTTTTAAAGCTATACATAATATTGATTTACCCGAGAGAGAAAAAAATGAAAGCTTTAATTTACCGATTATCTAAGACGCTGTCCAAATGAATTCTCTCATCTCGTTTCTAAAACTTTAAAACTTGACAAAATATGGTACAATAATTCTGCTCTTGCTATTTTATGTTGTTGTAAATAGCTCGACAATACATTATACAGAAGCCATATTTTATCAAGTTCTCAGGCCTGGTATAGGTTTGTAAAAAAAGATAACAAAATATATGACCAGTAAATGAGTTAAAATGCACTACAATGCAGTACATTATCTCTGTCTGTACTAGAAATGAAGAGTGGGAAGTTTGAATGAAGCTAGACTGCTTATTCTGAACAATATAAAGAAATATTATATCCGCCTTTACAGCAAGAAAGAAGTTGAAAAACCGTCTAGCATTTTAAAGACGCAAATATTCTATCCGGTTGGGAAATACTTTAGCGATTTCTTTTCGAAAACAAATACACACTTGTACGGGTTTAACTCGAAATGAAATGCCAAATGCTCTAATAAAACAAAGACATATATCTCTAAAAATACTAAAGTTATCTAATCTAACATTTGAAGAAATTGGGAGTTTGAAGGCTTCTTATCAAATCAAGCAGAACATAAACGAGAAAATAAGAGAAAAAATAACATAAGATGGAACAATTGTATTACCGTGAAATGTGACATCGTAAAATGAAACGTCATTTTTTTGCTTATTTGAATCGTGGTGCGTAATATATTTCTTCTTTTCAGACAATACAGACTATATATTGCTTACATCCACTTTATTTGAACTTTGGTGGATAGTTGTCTCATTGGCAATCATACC